TTTGATAGTAAAGTATAATAATAAAATAGCAAACCTACTGAAAGAAAGAAAGCTAAGCGATTATATTTTCTAAATAATGATAACTATATCTTTCAGCATTCAGCATTTCGTAGGTCGTGTAAATAAATACCCACTTATTTTTTATGTAAGACTGTTTAATTATAAACCAAAATAAAATATAAGATATTAATAAATTGGGTATCACCCAAAAGTGGATGACACCCGGGGCGGTGAGCCAAACCCCAACCCCCCCCCCTCCGTAAGTACGCCACTGGTTGGTACTACTATATATGGAAACTTGACTTGTGTTGTAGCTTATGCTGACGACATAATTCTTCTTAGCTCTACTCTCTCGAGCCTAAAAAAACTTGTTTTAACGTGTAACATATACAACAATTTAAACGGGATAAAACTTAATGTTTTCAAAACGAAACTTTTGCTCTCTGGAAAAAGACAAATAATAAACTGCACAATATCTCTAGACAACCATCAAATTATACTTTGTGAGAAACTTAATCATCTCGGCTTTACTTGGGATACAAAAAAATCAATTTTTGCTTCACTAAATAGAATGAATATTGATAGTAGGTATCAAATTTCCGGGCAACAGTGCAAACTCTTATTCAATCTGGAATCCGGTTCGCACATCCAAGTTCTATTATCCAATTATATAAATCATTAGCAGTTCTGACGTTAACCCACGGTCTAGAGCTCTGTGAAAATAAAGATGCAACAATGAAAAGACTCGACACATTTGGAAGGAACGCAATTAAATCAATTTTTAATGTCTCCAAGTATAGTAAAAACTATATACACTCTCTATTTAAAATTAAGGAGTTGTCAAATTATATACACCAAAACAAAATAAATCTATTTATCCGCCTTTTAAACAATAAAGTAACCTTTGAAATCATTAACTCCCAACCTAACTACTGTTCAGCTAAATTTTCTTTTTTAGATGATATAAAAGAATTATGTGATAATCATAACTGAATATGAAACTTAAAGTCTTAGAGGATGTAATTCCTGAAGCTACTCTTCATATTTTGGTACACGCGGTTCAATGTTGAAATGTAAAAGAACAGCGAACAATTTTTAAAAAGACACTTGAAGAAAACATTCCTAAATAATACTTTATCTCTTTTTCTTAGTTTGTATTTTTACTTTATAAATTTATTTTACAGAGGGTGATTAATAAAATATTAATAATAATAAATAATAATAAGTTTCGTGTTCACATCGATTAAAAACTGCCATTAATTGTACTATTTCAATTACATATAAAGTGACATACATCAACTGATATAAATATGGATTAAAGCTTTGGAATGTAGATACCTCAATTGAGGATTTTGGTTAGATAGTATTTATCTTAAATTTTAAAGCTTTTACTGACTTATTCCCTGATATTATTTAAAAAAGTTTACAGTTATACCGTTATTGTCATTAATTTTTTTTTAGTATTTTAAAAAAATACTGTAAGTATTAAAACCTTCTTTATTATTTATTTTAATTACAAACTTCATCTTACGGTTGCTAATAGAAGCCATTGCTCATTTAAGTTGCATAATAAAAGTTTTCACTCTCATGTTTATATATATATATAAAACTAACAATTAGCTAACACATATATTTTTGTTTGGTTGAGGGTTAGAACTGTAGAAAATGCCTGGCTAATGAGGAAACCTCGTCTAATAGTTGCCCAAGTATAATATTCCACTTTTATACTATAATGTAAGTACAGTTACAATATTTTGAAGTTTAAGGGTGTCTGACAAAGGTGTCTGATATGGGTGCCTGACAAGGGTTTGCCACTATGTTAAATATCTGACAATGGGTGAATAGAAAATTGCGCTATTTAGTTTAATAAATTTTAGTCAGAATTTTAAACATCTTTCGTACCTGTTTCCTGCTAAAACCACTCTAGCCAAAATTATGTTGAGTTGACTATCGTTCCTACTTGTGTCGGAAACATGCACTAAGAAATTTTTAGTTTCTATAAAAAAACCGAGATTTAAAAAAAAGTGTGTAATATGTATGTGAGTAATATGTAATTTGTACAAACATGGCGGCATTTTACCCTTTACATATATTTTACTCAACTTTAGGTAGAATACTTTTTTTATTCAACATATAATAGAGATCTTTTTTTATTGAAAATTTCTCAAATTTTGGGTGGCATAGTCTCATATTTCCTGATTTATACCATTTTTTAAAACTCAGTGAGTTCACAAAGTTTAAATGGAAACCATGCATTACCTTATACAATTTTTTTTTTAAAAAGTATTTATACGATTGCATTACCAAGAGTGTTTAAAATATTTTAAAATGTAATTAAAAAATTTAGGCCATTACTAAAATTCACTAAATAAGTTATTTAGTTATCAAAAAAATTGCTTTTATCACAGTTTTTGGTCGTCTGTTAGATATGAACTAGTCATTAACCACTAAACTCCACTTTTTAGTTTTGATAATTTCTCAATTGGCACTTAAGGAACTCATTTAAAAACCATTTTCATTTTCAATTTGTTTTTGTAAGTTTATTTGCACTCTGTTTGAAAAAAACTTTCACAAAAGTTTAAAGAACTAAGTTGTCAAAAGAATGCATAAATTGCCTAAAAATGTCAAATACGTCACCAATGGAATCCGTTAGTCATTTACAATTTTAAATATATATGTATATATATATATATATATATATATATATATATATATATATATATATATATATATATATATATATATATATATATATATATATATATATATATATATATATATATATATATGAAGTCAAAATAGATTAAATAGCTCCAACTACGTCCCATGAATAAGATTTTCTAAGTTTAACTTCCTTTGTGACTTTTTTTTTTTGTTATTCATGACTGGTAATATTATGAAGGTAAAATATTGTTTTTATTTACAGAGCGGAACTCCGTGATCTTTTAATCCAGTCTTATGATTAAATTTTTTTTTCTACTTGCTGCTGACACTACTGTTTAATAAGTTTGGTTTTGACACCATCAAGTTAATTGTTTTGATTAGTTTAGTTTTGATGCCATCAAAGTTAATTGAAGACAGTAAAAAAATTCCCTCTGACGTCATTCTTCACACAACATAAATTTTTTTTCGCATTACTGAACATAAATAATACTTACTTGTGTGAACTTAAATCTTTTAAATGACACAAATAAATTTTAGCTGTGAGTATTAGAGAAATATTACTTGTGACGACGAATAGTATTAATAAAATAATAAACAAATAAAAATAATATTTACTTATGAATAGTTTAATTAGTTTGCGTAAAGTTTTTAATATACGACAAGAAATAACATCTAGGTATTATTTTTTACAACATACTGAATGACGTCTGCGGTTACTCGCTCATTTTGACTCTACTAATATGACTCCACCTTGTTCTTGTAGTTATTCTTGTTAATAAAAAATAATATTTTTACAATGTTTCATTCGAATATGACAAGAACAGACTAAAATTTAAAAATCTCAACTAACTCATTTTATTTCTACTCCAAAAAATTCAGGAGAAATATATTTTCAGGAGAATAAATGTGTTCAGGAGAAATATATGTTCAGAAGAATATATGTTCAGGAGAAATATATGTTTGTTAGACTGCATTAAAACATGATGATTAAAAATGGTGGTTTTCCATATTGGCCTTATAGTTGATGTCCTTTATGTACATCTATCATTAAATTTGAAATAGCAAATAGTTAAAATTATTCGTTTATTCTAACTATTTATTTAAACTAACTTTAAGTCTTTATTTATAAAAATTTTCGAAAATTTGTTTAGCAGGCTACGCTTTGTCTTTATTTATAAAAATTTGCTGGGAAAATTGACATTTGTTTAGCAGCCAAGCCACGCTTTGTCTTTGAAATGTTTGTGTTGATTAAAAATCATCAGTAAATATTTATGAAGTAAAATATTTGCAATTCCTACTGATACATTGTCATGTTTGCTTATACCACTTAGTTCATGTTTATTGTTTTAATTATTTTTCTTAGTTACCTCTTGGTTCATATTTACTTATACCTCTTAGTTTTTTGCTATGCACTTGTGTGTGTTGATAATCTAAAGTTTAAAGTCTAAATTATCAACGCACTTGATCTTAAAACTATATGGTTTTATATAACTCTAAACCTCTCAGACTCTGAGAGGTTTAGAGTTATATAAAAATCTGAACATTTCTCTGCTCGCATCTACCCAGTGGGCATATAACATTAATTAGACGTCTTAAGGACGTCCTTTGGACTTGTGACGTCCTTATATCGTCGTATACCTCAAGTTTTAGTAATAGACTAAAAAAGTTGAAGTAGCCAAAACTCACTGTATATGTGTAAAACAGTTCATGTTCTTCGCGATCAGTTTAACTTATCCTAAGCCATCCAAAACTTATTTTAAGCTGAAATTCTAACCAGAAAGATAAAAATAAACACAGTAAACAGCAAAACAACAACAACAACAGCAGGTTATTATCAAATTATATTTATTTCACCCATATTATTCAAAGTTTTAAAATAAATACTAAATTTTACAAATAATAATATTTATAATACTAATAATAACAATAATAACACTAATAAAAATAGCAATAATAATAAAACTTTTAATAATGTTGATATATTGATATAACTCAAATAAATTTAAATAATAATATTAATAATAGATACGAATAAATGTCTACTACATATAAAATTAGACTCTCTATATGGATGCGTAACTATTTTTTAACTTTATTATTTTTATGTAAAATAATAAAGTTAAAAAATAATAATACTTAAATATTAAATGCTGATATAATTCAAATAAAACTGTAAAATACTATTAAAGATGAATATCAATTAATGTCAACTATGATTTGACTTTTACTATGACGATATGTTAGTTTATACACTATGACTATATGTTAGTGCATATTAATTATGTTTAGTTATGCAAAATAATATAGACTAAAGTTAAAATTTTGTAGTAGTTGAATTAAAAACATATTTAAAGTTTTAGTAATAAAGTTGTTTAACAAAATAACAATTATTCATTCATCATAATCAAAGCCTTTCTCAAGAGACATAAAAAATTCTCTAAGTTCAGAGTCAAGTTCAATAACATCTTCTCTTTTTTTTATTTGATTATTTTGATTAAAATCTTCTTCGTTATTGATGTTGAAAGAGTTTTCACAGCTATGTTGTGCTTCATCTGAATAGTAATGCAGCGTAGTTGTTTCTTTGTGCGTTTGTTGATTTTCATCAAATCTGTCACTTTTATTTTTATTTGATTTAGCATTTAATTGAACATTCGAAATGAAGTTATTACTAATGCTTTTTGAAAGAATTTTAGGCGAAAATGTATTTTGATTGCCGTTCCTTTCGTTCTGATAAGCTGCGAATACGCTTTGAAGGTAGCCAAAGCTTTTCAAATCTTTGTGTTCTATAATTTCACTCATGTTTAAATATTTAAAAATTTTGTATGCATTTAAATCATTACTTGTTAATTTGGAAGCCATTTTAGAAAAACTTGTATTATTTAGTTGATTGATTTTCCTTTTTTTAAAGAAGTAATGATAATTTGGATTATCTTGTATAAACTTAGTTCGAAGACACTTTGCACTTTGAATAAACGGCAATTTCTCAACTTCACTCATTTCTTTCCAAACTTTGCCTAACAGTCTGCTTATTTCAGTGTTGCTTAGATTAGGGTTTTCACTTGCATACATTTTCCTTACAGATTTTGCCCAAAGCAAAAATGAGTTCATTGGACGTTTCGCTGTTTTCTCTCTTGGAACCTTTTCTGCGCATCTTCTTTTAAAAAGATTATCCATAAAAGAATCTTCACATAATGTGCCTTGTTTTACAAATCTTGGAAGTTCCATCCTCAAAGACTCCTATGTTTTTAACTTTTACTAATTTGATATGAATTCCGTTTAACGACAAAACTAAACTTGGATCTCACATAGGCTTAGCACAAGTCAACAAATGTGAGTTAATTCGACTTTTGTTTATTCGTTTTGTCGCCCAACTACTTTGATGCAGACTGGTAATTGTTCAATAAATAACTTCTTAGAAATTTTTATTTACAAACTCGCTTATTGCTAAACATTCTAAATTGCTAGAGACGCAGGTAGTTTATTATCCGCGAATCAGTGCTATGCTGCAATTAAGGTTGGAATTGCAAAATAAAATATAACTGAAAATAAGCAAAATTTACTATCATATCGTTTATTTCAAATGGAAATTAGTTTTATGAGTTTAAAGCAACACCATATAAACGTCATCTTAAGGTTTTTGTGCTATTGCGTGATGATGACATAATTACGCATTGTTAAGGTATTATTACCATGAAGTTTATATAGTATAATTATAAGTATGTTGATCAAACGGATTCTTGCTTAAAACAAGACTTTTTTTAGCTCATTATGTGTTTAATGCAACAAGTTTTCCAGTCATTTGGGTATCAGGTATTTCCAGTCATTTAGGTATTGGGCATTTTCTTGACAACTTTTTTTTATATAAATACCGGGAACTTTTTATATTTTTTTGGTGTATTAAGTTAGTAATCTTCAAACTAATTCCATGAAAGCAGTAATCTATGGTTTCTGTAATTTCAATCAACTACGATACTCAAATCATATGTAAAAAAATATTTGTTTTGTAAATTTCACTAAATTTTTTTTTAATGAGTTCGAAGTGAACTTCATGAGGTATAAAGAATTAAAAAAAATTTTTTCGGGTGTTTTTTAAAATAACAAGTTAAAACATGCATTATTTTGTGCAAAAATAATTAGGTATTTTAGTGGGACTGCACCAAACAGCGGAGGCCTAACTGTAGAAGAAGCAAAATAAATTAAAAATTTAAGCTCGTGTTAGATAAAAGAATATAAAGATAAATATGTTGTATGGGTGTCTCATAAATAAAAAGTATAAACAACCCGCCTCAGGGTCCCAGACGAAAATGTCCGTGCGAAACTTCAGGGTCCCTTAAGTGACCAAAAAAAAAAAACAAAAACCACGCGTTACCACTCAAAAGATTAGTAGTAAAGCGTAGTTGTTTTTTTAAATTCTTTTTTTTTTATAAAAATATTAAAAAAGTATTTTTTAAACTTATTTATTATTATGATAAACTGTAATATATTACATATTATTTACATAGTAATGCAATTCAAAACACAAGATATTAATATTTATTTAAAGATGTCTTTCGCTTCTTTTGTCGAGGATCGTTATCAACTTTGATGTCCTCTTCACTTCTCTCGTCACTGTCTGTATCTGTCTGAAACTGCTGTTTTCTTACATCGCCGCAGCCAACCAACATAGCGATCTCTGGTATTATTGAAAAATCGTGCAACTTTCAACTCAATTTCTTTTTTTGTGGTGCCGGGGAAAAAGTGAACAGTTGAAGCTATAAATTAGCTACTTATTAAGCACTCTTGAAATATGGTCATAGACAGTCAACCCACCTTTAAACATCATCCATGACAGCTAAAAAAGATTAGAAATGTTTTATATAATTATTATTCCAAAATCATTTCAAAATCAACAGTTTATGGCTATTTGCATATTCAGAAAATATTAAAATCATACCATATTCGTTGGGTGCTTTTCAGCTTCAGAATATTGGAGTACGGAATTAAAAATTGGGAACTGGATTTGGCTGATATTCTGATCAACAGGATCATTACAAAAACGTGCTTCCAACCTTCTCTGTCTTTCTTCAAGAGTTGTCAACTTATATCGAATAGAATTCAGTTTATAAAGAATGTATGCATTCGTAAGAAAGTGACCTGTTATGAAAAAAGTGCTACTTATGAAAGAAAATGACCTGTTACTAACGTGTACTTAAATTAAATAATACTATATAATAATATTAAATATTCCATGAAAAAACATTGTATAAAATAATTACTGAGCCTTAACAATATAACATATTCAAACCTTAATGGTTCAAAATTTAGACGATTGCAAATACCAAGCATACTATCATGCATCTGTAATAAACTTGAATCAGCGGAATACCTGGGACTCAACTAAAGTTACAACATTTTACAACAATATCAGTCTGTGGAATGCTTGAAACCTATACGAAATTAAAAAGACGTTAACATAATCAAATTTATTATGCGAAAGATATAGAAGTATATAACAATTTTTAAAAAAAACCCTATATATATATATATATATATATATATATATATATATATATATATATATATATATATATATATATATATATATATATATATATATATATATATATATATATATTAGGGTGGCTCATAAAATTTTTTTTTTCTTGCTACAGGCTCTAAACATTGCTAGAAAGTTGTTTTTTTATGTACTAATTTAGAAAAGTATTTAATTTTATGGATTGAACTATGTCTTCCACCCCCAACTATAATTACAAAAATTACCAGGTCCAATTATTATTCAAAAAAAAAGTTTTTCAAAATTATGTGATGTAGGTACTCAAATAAAGCGAAATTTTATAAAAATTTTAAAAATAATAATTTTTTCATACAAAAATTATTATTTTAGATTTTATTGCATAATAACTATAGATTTTTAACTAAAAGTGAAAAAGGTGCATTTTTACATGTTTTTTAATAACAATCTTTTTTGGTTATATGATTTTTATAAAACGATTATTTTCGAATTTTTTATAAAATTTCGCTTCTTTTGAGCACCAGGTTGACCTACTTTTGAAAAACTTTTTTTCTCTAAAATATTAGGGTACCGGTAATTTTCCCAATAAAGTTGCGCCCTTTAAATCTATCACAATCATTCTCATATTTGATAGTATCAATATTAATAACTATTAGCAATGTTTAGAGTCTGTAACAAGAAAAAATTTTTTTTGACCCACCCTAATATATATATATATATATATATATATATATATATATATATATATATATATAAATTTTATTATTTTCAAGTGACGATATGTGTTTGCTTGATATGATTTACTATTTTATTTTAATATTGTCATTGATTATGAAAACTCTATACTTTTCGTGACTAAATGTTTGTGTGTGTGACACATTTTTATTTGTGAGTATTATTGAATAATTTTTGTTTTGTTTATTTATTTTTATTTTTTAATAAAGTATTTATTTTACTTTTGTTTTTATTATTATTATTATTGATATTAAGATTATTATACTTATTAAATCATTGTTACTTTTTTTCGCAATAATTGTTTTAGTTACATGGTAGGTTGTTACGTTTTGTAACAACCTATAAGATCTTTTATCATAACTGTTTGTAACTTTCCTGTCTGTGCATTATATTTAATTGTTGTTTTAAAATTAATATTGGTTTGTTATCATATAATTTTCTTGTTATTCTTATAACTTTTAATTTATTATCATTTTTATTATCGTTATTTTTTGTATTATCAATCCTATTTCATGGAAATATTTAGTTTTTAGCGGTGACAGGGGCTTTAAAACTGATTTAACAGCAGTATCCTGGGTATGCTGAGCCTAAAATATCAAAAATTACTAAACAAACTGTCTAAACTGTTGCAATAAATTAAACAATACCATTGACTCAAAACAAAAATCGGTATCAAAGTTTTCAGAAGCTGTGTGAAGTGGCTGAATTAAAAAAAAATTTGGATAATAAATTCTTTAAAAAAAAATAAAACCATAAAAATCTAAACATAAATAGACATAAACATATCTATAAACATAGTTTTGCATTTTATATGTACATAAACTGGAAGCAGTTGTTGTCTATTTAAACCATGGATTGAGTTGAAATAAGTTTGTATAAAATTTTTTGTTTTTTAGTTTTCATTTCAGAAACAAACTTTAAAGTTTCTTTCAGGGCATCATAACTTGTCGCACACTGCAAAACTAAAACCTAATCATATATATATATACATATATATATATATATATATATATATATATATATATATATATATATATATATATATATATATATATATATATATATATATATATATATATATGTATATATATATATATATATATATATATATATATATATATATATATATAAATCTATAAAAATATAAAAATACATATATATATATAAATATATATATATATATATATATATATATATATATATATATATATCCATTCATAAAATTAATCTTTGTATTGTAATTATTAAACAATACTATCAAATTATGGTGATTCAATTTTACCTTTATCATGTTGTCTTTAATTATCACCATTAATCCAACTCTGTTACAAATTTTGAGTTTTTCGAATTCTTTAAGATTCCACCCAAAAACATCATCAACATGAACAATTGATATTGATTTATCAGATAAACAATAAATTAGAACATATTTTTAACTGATGTACTCCATTAGATATTTAAATTATTACTAAATTATGTAAAATAAAAATCAGTAACAGTTATCATCAACTAATTTTGATCATAAAAATAGATGTTGAAAGAAACAGACGCTAAAAAAAAATGCTTTTTTTGACATAAAAAGCTTGAAATATTTACTGTAACAATATACTAATATCTAATTTTAGTGCAAAATAATAAAATAATACTAATTCTATAAGATACTTAAAAACAATTGAAATTGTTTAAATATTATTATAATATAATAATTATATTTAAATTTTTACAACATAAAATCTACTACCTATGACATAAAAACAAAATCATTACATTAAAATGATGGACTCATTACACAGTCATTAAGAGTCAACTCTTGATCATTTGTCTAATATCATTGTAACTGGTGTGAAGATCGTAAATAAAATTTATTTACGATCGTAAATAAAATTCATTTACGATCTTCACACCAGGTACAATAACATTTATTTTAAATGTATTAAATTTTAATACATTTATTTACGATCTTCACACCAGTTACCATGTTATTAGACATAGTATAGATACCTATACCAATTGAACTGGAAGGATATGGATGAACAATTACCATGCTACGATTAACAACTAACATCTTTTTTATTAGACTATTTTTTTATTATTAAATTATAGCCATTTGACAATTACCACGCCAGGATAGACAAAACCCACAATTTTAGAAACATCGCATTTACAAAAATCATTCCGTAAAATGTTTTTATTCCATAAAATTCAACAACGGACTATGCAAATTATTCCTCGTTTTATATCACAAGAACTTTTTCTAAAGCATCTAGACCAGATGGTTCTTAACATTCCTTTTTATTTATTAAGTAAACCACCCTAGAAACCCGAAAGTCCAGATTTTCTTTAAGCAGATTTATTACAGGGATGAGGAGAGATTTGAAAAATGAGTGGAAAAGGTCAAAAGTTACATTTTTGATTTATTTTCCATAAACGTTTATTGTAATTTTTGAGTAATAAATTTTAATTGATTGCTTTGCATAAATCTGATTGGTTGTTTTTCATAATCAAAAATTACATTCGAAACTCAGAGGGCACAGGAATTGAAAAAAACTTTTTTTAAACTTTCAAAAGACGTTTAAAACGTTCAAAAGTCGTTTAAAAGACGTCTTCTTCCGACTTGTGCCCACTGGGAAAACTAACAACGTTAAAAATTATATTGTTAACCATTATGCTAACCATGACAAACTCATACAGGTTCAATAATTAACCCGCGAAAACTCTAAAAAATCAAAAACATAGGCCTCTTTGCTTTTATGCAGTTGTAAAGGTTTGAAGCAATCCGGTATTTGTTTTAAAGACAAAAATTTGCCTAACAGTTCAAATAGTGCATTTTTTTCTTTATAATCAAGCATAAACTTTAATAAAAAAAATTTTAAAATTTATTTAAAACTCGTATTTTCAATGATTAATACGTCTGAAACTTATTGTTGGATTGGTTTAATTTAATTTATTTTTGTATTTACAAATATTTATACTTATACAGATTTTATAAAATCTTTTCATAGCAACGTCATTTCATGAAGTCTGATTACTACAGCCTCTTTTTTTAAAATACATAAACAATTTTTTTAAATACAACAATGTTTTAATCAGAAACAGTTCATTAAATAAAAACAAAAAAACATAAGCAACGCTTTACAAAGACGCAATTTAAAGAATTACCAATAGAACTAACTTCGAAGTTTGCATTGTTTACAATATCCCCAGCCGGCACAACTGAAATTAAGACAAGTTTGGACATGTTATTGTCACGCGATACAGCGTAAACCAAAAACACATTTATTTCACGAGCAGTTTTACTCGAGTTTAGCACGTGTTTTTTGAAGTTTTAAAGTCTAATGTGGTTTTATCACTGGTTTCACGTTCTTTACGGAAGTTTACAATAACATAATATAACGTTTTCGTAACGGTGAAACCATTAATATTTAACTAGTATTTTTGGTAAATAGAAATAGTAAAGGTAGGTTGGTTCATAAAATATGATTAACTAATCATATTTTAGGAACGTGCGACAATAATCGTAGAAAAGACAAAATTTGTTGCACAACTAATGTTTCCATATGATCCGCAATTGTCTTGCGACAGTCGTGCGACCATTTTTAATATATGGAAACCAACTTTAATTTTTAACTACACCTAGGACGTATCAATAGATGGACGTTTAGCCCATTTTTTAAAAGCCATGATATAAGATATAAAATGCATAAAGAACAATAGCAAAGCAATAGGGAAAAGTTGCGTCACGTGAAAACACTTTTATATAATTATACTAGGGTGGGGCAAGTCTGAAATTTTTTCTATGGCAAGCTGTTTCTAAAGCTCAATGTGATATTGAATTCCGATCAGGAAGAACTTTTAGCCTGCAACAAATATTTTGTTAGAAATTTTCTTTTTATCCAAATTTCTATATGTTTTCTTGCATGCTGGATCTAAATATTTCAGAAATTTGTGCGTCTAATAGGGTTTTAGGTCAAGAAGATGTGTTTCCTGTCCAAAAGTGTTGCAGAAATAAATGGGAAATATTTAAAACTTGCAAAGGTGGACGTGCACCTTTATGTGCACGTACTTGACTATTAAGGTGCCTTTGTGACCATCAGCTTGTTCAGTCTGGTATAAAAACTTATCTACGGTTATGCCTAAAATCCGGCCCGGTCCAAAAATTTACAACGCGGCCCTGCCCAACCTTAAAACCGACTTTTCTTTAAAGCCTCAAAGATTTTACTAAAAGTCTTTGCAAAAGAAATACATATGTTTATCTTTTTATTGGTTAAAAGTTTACAGATTTTCAAAAAATATTCAAAAAGTCTGTAAAAAAAAAAAAAAGATTTGGTTTTAAGAATATTTTTTACTTAATACTTCCTTTTACATATTATGTAAAAGGAAGAAGTTAGTAACCCATCTAACACAAAACGCTCAAGAACGTTCTACGAACGTTGTGAACGTTCGAGTACGAACGTTGTGAACGTTCTAGAACGTTCACAACGTTCTAGAACGTTTGTAGCTGGGAATAGAAATTCTTTAGAGTGTCCAAATTATAAAATTGTACCGTTTTTATTTTGCAGTATCCAGGAATCGATGAGGAACTTACTGAAACCAATATGTAGGTGTGTAAGTTTTGCATAAAACAAAATCATTTTAATGGTATCATTCAGGAACTACTAAAACCAACAACAACAACACAAAATTTGTTTAGAGTACAACAGAGACCAAATTAAGTCTACCATTCACACTATGCCATACTTTGCGTATTCTCTAAGAAGGAGTCTATATTCTTAACACAGCAACGTCGAAACAAGCATATTGCCAAACAATGGCTAGAAAGAAAGCAACCACGAGTTGAAGACTGCGACATCAATGCAGCTTCTGGTGGCAAGTGAGTGACAATAACGATAATGCAAAAAAAGAGATTGTCTTAATAAATCACAAAGAATATAATGCAATTAAATACATATGAAAAAAATTACTTTAACGGAATACTTGGACGTTGAGTCACGAGTTGTTGAGGCGTCCCCCCTATAAAAATTGTTATTGGGAGTTGCACAATTAACAGTGAAATTTTCGCAACATTAAATTTAGATGAGTAGTTAAATCATGCTGTAATCCATGCTTACCTCAATCTGCTAATGGACTTAAACAAGGCTAAAAAGCGCAACCTAATTTATGTCCTAATTTTTTAAATCAACGATTACACACAAAAAAAATTTGATGGTTAGCTTTATAAAAAAGTCCATGTATGCAAGTATCACTGAATTTGTTTACCACTTCACGCTACCTTTTAATGCACCTCAACAACTCGATGCAAATAGTTGTGGAGATTTTACACTAATATTTGCAGAAGCTGTTACCAACAATGTGAACATTAGTATTGTATATCCGACAGCTATAGCATTATACCCTCGATACATTTAAGCTAGACTTGTATAACGCTGTGTGCTAAAGTTGATAACAAAGATAAATGTGACGGTCTCGTTTTGAGTTGAATGAAGTGCCTATGTGACCAGTAGCAGCACGTTCATTTTGCTATAAATCTCATTGTTTTAGAGCTAGTTTTTCATTTGACCCAGTGGGCACATGCTTTATTTTAGACGTCTAAAAAACGTAGTAACTTGTTTTAACACGTGTAATAAACGTCTTAAGCACGTCTTGTACTAATTAAGGAGGTCTCAACGCACACCGATCCACCTTGCCAAAAACTATGGATAGTTCAGTCGAACTGATGATACACCAGTGTTCAGTGAGACCTGGTTCTCACATAATGACTCAAGCAAAATAGTGGCATAGGAACTATCCAACCACTGGATATTCAAGAACGTCATACACTGTGTCTACAAAGCATAGCCAAGAAGATGAGACGAATACCTAACTTTCATGACTTTGGTTAAACAAAATAAAAATTCAAGTTACAAAAATTGAATTTAGAAAACTTGAATACAGAAAGCTCAAGATTTTAACTTGCGTATGGCAAGCAGAACTTACGGCATTAGAACACATGTTGTGGCATACCAACGGAAACTGAAAGAGTTGGTGGCGTAGTTGTTATCATTGTAAAAACCGCTAACATCATCTTCAGCCAAAAATGGACAATAAATTCAAATAGGCTAGATGAAGAATAAAGTAATTCTGAGACAAATTTGGTGACCCGGAAAAGAGTGTCCAACAACCTAAAAATACATCACTCTACTAGAGATTTCACCTTTTCACGTTTTTCCCTCAGCAAGGACTATAGATAGATAGATATTTTAAAGATGCATTTTACCTCAATCTCCAGATGGCGGAAAATTATCTTCTAAACAAAAACGCTAATGATGTTGTTACCTTTGGCTTAGAAGATACAATCAATGCTGCCGGTCTCAAGTTGTACGATACCAAGGTGGGCCACATTACAATCAAGTGGTCCAGACAGAGAGTGGAGAACATTGACCATATGCTATAATGAGAATACTTCTCATTCAGGATCTGAGGGTGCGGTAGCCTACGAACTCAAGCT